CACCCCACAGCTGTCGTATATATACGTCATGTAGATAGATACACGAGATCTCAACATACACACACCCCCCACAGCTGTCGTATATATACGTCATGTAGATAGATACACGAGATCTCAACATACACACACCCCCCACAGCTGTCGTATATATACGTCATGTAGATAGATACACGAAATCTCAACACACACACACCCAACAGCTGTCGTATATATACGTCATGTAGATAGATACACGAGGTCTCAACACACACACACACCCCACAGCTGTCGTATATATACGTCATGTAGATAGATACACGAGGTCTCAACACACACACACACCCCACAGCTGTCGTATATATACGTCATGTAGATAGATACACGAGATCTCAACATACACACACCCCACAGCTGTCGTATATATACGTCATGTAGATAGATACACGAGGTCTCAACACACACACACACCCCACAGCTGTCGTATATATACGTCATGTAGATAGATACACGAGATCTCAACATACACACACACCCCACAGCTGTCGTATATATACGTCATGTAGATAGATACACGAGATCTCAACATACACACACCCCGACTGTTTTATCTCAAACGAATATGGGCTGGACTTCACATCAATTTTACAGGTTCAAATTTGAGTTTAGGGGCCCTCAGTTGTTGTGGAAAAAATATGATTTAGTTAAGGCAAACTAATACAAACTGCTGTGCAAAGCATGGCGGGTGACATTGATTCAACCGTTAAAGGGATAAGTTGCGCCACGAATTTATGTCCGCACAATACGTACCACCACTAGATCAACTTTCCTTACAAAGGTGGATTAATGTAACTTCCAAATATTATTATGGCAAGGTATCAAGGTAAAGAGGCTCCGATTTTACGTCCATCTCCGATATAACAGAGTCATGTGGGTGGACGTATGCTGCGACTACTACCTTTCAATAAAAAGAGTGACACTCATATTGAGGATAATAAACGGAACTAATACAACGAGCAGCCATGTCTGCAGCGACAAGAACATCAGCATGGACAACAGCAGCGGCGCTCAGTTCTGTCACATAAGATTAGATTGATAATGAAAATAATTATTATGTTCGGAAGGAAATTACCTTATTTGTCAGCTGGTGGATTTTCTCCAGCCCAAACCAGAAGTTTCCAGACAGATCTCCGAACCCTTTTTTGTAGTCCACCCAGCCCCGGAAAAAGTCCACGTCGGCCGAGGTACGCCTCTGTAGACATGACAGAACATTATGAAACTTTGTGAGGCTTGTTATCATGAAATATGCTAATTAAACTACTCTATTTGTTGAAAATAAACTTGATCTTGTAAAGATTATAATGTGAATTTTGATTTCTTTAAAACATTTTAATTATAATTTTTCAACGTTATTAAAATGTATAACCTTTGGTCTCCAGGCACACATAAAGTTTTATTTATTGTTGTGAAATTACGGCAAATCTTCATTCCAGTGTGTCCTGTGATGGTATTTTTAAAAACACAATGCTATAGTTTAGGGTATGCGATGCAATTCTCTAATTTAGTATTACTTAAATGGCAGAAACTTTTTTAGAAATACAACCATATGTGAGACATCTTGGTGAAATCAGGCGCTCGTCAAAATAGTGAAATTGAAGAAAAAGGCACTTTCCCACCAGTTTGGCAACTTTTATCAAATTTTGGAGGGATTTTTTTTTGGGTTCAACACCTTTTGTGTCCATATAAAAACACATTTCCATTTGTGAATTTCACAGAAAAAGTTTGATTAAAGTTAAAGGCACAAAATATGTAATTTTATCGTTTTCAATTACTCTCAGGCTATTGAAATTGTCAAACTTTTTCTCGCCAATTTTAACACTGAAACCGGGCGACCCTTCTTCCTTCTATCGCAAATATCTTGACTTTTATTCAAGATAGATGAGTATTTTTTCATAGAAAGCAACACAAATAAACATGCTTTAAGATGAGACCAATTACTCCAAATCCCTAAAAACTGACGAGCGCCTGATTCCACCGCGTCTTGACACATATGCCCTAGCGAGGTAATACTTGCACCATACGTAGACTTATTATATATACTGTCTGGGAAGTCACAGAACAAACAGAATGTTCCGCCTCTTGTATCAGTCTGTGGTAGAGTAGAACGTTATCTCACCTGGACCACGATCCAGCCTCCGTTGTCTGTCTCAGTGTCACAGACGACTTGCATGCCGTTAGAAAGGGTGACCACTGGCCGGGGGGCTTGAATCGTGACGTCAGCACACGTATTGGGCTGGAAAACCCCCCCACAGAGAAAGAGATTGATGCACGGCTGTAGAAAATGTCGAGGGGAAGTTGGTTTGGCGTAACACAACGCTAGTGGTGCTGAAAAACATCCGTCAGTGGGGCAGGCAGTTTCTCAAGTTATCACTCAGTCAGTTTTCTTGTTTATCGCTAAGTCACTCAGTCAGTTTTCTTGTTTATCACTAAGTCACCCAGTCAGTTTTCTTGTTTTTCACTAAGTCACCCAGTCAATTTTCTTGTTTATCACTAAGTCAGTTTTCTTGTTTACAGTCAGTCACTCAATCAGTTTTCTTGTTTATCACTAAGTCACTCAGTCAGTTTTCTTGTTTATCACTAAGTCACTCAATCAGTTTTCTTGTTTATCATTCAGTCAGTTTTCTTGTTTATCATTCAGTCACTCAATCAGTTTTCTTGTTTATCACTAAGTCAGTTTTCTTGTTTATCATTCAGTCATTCAGTCAGTTTTCTTGTTTATCATTAAGTCAGTTTTCTTGTTTATCATTCAGTCAGTTTTCTTGTTTATCACTAAGTCAGTTTTCTTGTTTATCATTCAGTCAGTTTTCTTGTTTATCACTCAGTCAGTTTTCTTGTTTATCACTCAGTCAGTTTTCTTGTTTATCACTAAGTCACTCAGTCAGTTTTCTTGTTTATCACTAAGTCAGTTTTCTTGCTTATCATTCAGTCAGTTTTCTTGTTTATCACTCAGTCAGTTTTCTTGTTTATCACTCAGTCAGTTTTCTTGTTTATCACTCAGTCAGTTTTCTTGTTTATCACTCAGTCACTTAATCAGTTTTCTTGTTTATCACTCTTGTTTATCCCTCTTGTTTATCACTCAGTCAGTGCTCTTGTTTATCACTCTTGTTTATCACTCAGTCACTCAGTCACTCAGTCAGTTTTCTTGTCTATCACTAAGTCAGTTTTCTTGTTTATCACTCAGTCACTCAGTCAGTTTTTTTGTTTATCACTAAGTCAGTTTTCTTGTTTATCATTCAGTCAGTTTTCTTGTTTATCACTCTTGTTTATCACTCTTGTTTATCACTCAGTCAGGGCTCTTGTTTATCACTCAGTCAGTTTTCTTGTTTATCACTCAGTCAGTTTTCTTGTTTATCACTCAGTCAGTTTTCTTGTTTATCACTCAGTCACTCAATCAGTTTTCTTGTTTATCACTCAGTCAGTTTTCTTGTTTATCATTCAGTCAGTTTTTTTGTTTATCATTCAGTCACTCAGTCAGTTTTCTTGTTTATCATTCAGTCTGTTTTCTTGTTTATCACTAAGTCAGTTTTCTTGTTTATCACTCAGTCACTCAGCCAGTTTTCTTGTTTATAACTCAGTCAGTTTTCTTGTTTATCATTCAGTCAGTTTTCTTGTTTATCACTCTTGTTTATCACTCTTGTTTATCACTCAGTCAGTGCTCTTGTTTATCACTCTTGTTTATCACTCTTGTTTATCACTCAGTCAGTGCTCTTGTTTATTACTCTTGTTTATCACTCAGTCAGTTTTCTTGTTTATCACTCAGTCAGTTTTCTTGTTTATCACTCAGTCACTCAATCAGTTTTCTTGTTTATCACTCAGTCAGTTTTCTTGTTTATCACTAAGTCACTCAGTCAGTTTTCTTATTTATCAATAAGTCACTTAATCAGTTTTCTTGTTTATCACTCAGTCAGTTTTCTTGTTTATCATTCAGTCAGTTTTTTTGTTTATCATTCAGTCACTCAGTCAGTTTTCTTGTTTATCATTCAGTCTGTTTTCTTGTTTATCACTAAGTCAGTTTTCTTGTTTATCACTCAGTCACTCAGCCAGTTTTCTTGTTTATAACTCAGTCAGTTTTCTTGTTTATCATTCAGTCAGTTTTCTTGTTTATCACTCTTGTTTATCACTCTTGTTTATCACTCAGTCAGTGCTCTTGTTTATCACTCTTGTTTATCACTCTTGTTTATCACTCAGTCAGTGCTCTTGTTTATTACTCTTGTTTATCACTCAGTCAGTTTTCTTGTTTATCACTCAGTCAGTTTTCTTGTTTATCACTCAGTCAGTTTGCCAGTTTATGATTTACTCAATTTCAAAGCGTTTTTCATTAAGTCAGCCCACTAGTTTATCAATTGACTGTACAGTTTCAGTCCCACATGTTCAAAACAATTTCAGTGAAGTACGTGGCGGGAAATACGGACCTATGTCAGACTCACATGGGACTGGGAAGTGGGCCTAAAATATTTCTCTCCTGAGTTGACAATCAGGTTGTAATTCATGTAACTCTGAGGGGAGCTCATTCAATTCAAGGTCTGAACATTTGAAAATTATACTTACAAATCATGGTCTGAGGTACTCTCTCTTCAATACTTTCTCTTAAATAGATAAATAGATAGATAGATAGATAGATAGATAGATAGATAGATAGATAGATAGATAGATAGATAGATAGATAGATAGATAGATAGATAGATAGATAGATAGATAGATAGATAGATAGTTAGATAGACAGATAGAGAGAGAGAGAGAGAGAGAGAGAGAGAGAGAGAACGACACAGTCAGAAGGAGAGAGAGAGAGAGAGAGAGAGAGAGAGAGAGAGAGAGAGAGAGAGAGAGAGAGAGAGAATTGTGGAAGAGAGACTTGTTGGGAATCATAGATCAATATCCATTATTCAATATAAAAGGAGACTGGTCCTTCATGCACTGATAAAGAAATAATTATGTTCGTGTTATTTCTGGATTGGAAACTCCTAAGTAAACCGTCAATATTGGAGGTCAAAGACTACGAGAGATTTTTACCTGCAACTGGGTCTTTGTAGCACTCAGCTTGCGCTCAAAACCTGCTTCTAGAGCCTCAATCATCGCCGTGACGTTACCGAGAATGCGTTCTTCCAGTTGTACAAACTTCATTTCATTTTGATCAAAAGTCGCTGTGACGTTTCTGAGAATGTCTTCTGTCTGTTGTACAAACTCTCGTTTTGTCTGATCGACGACCGCTGTGACGTTGCCAATAATGCGTTCTTCCAGTTGTACAAACTCCCGTCTATTTTGTTCAAAAGTCGCTGTGACGTTGCCAAGAATGCGTTCTTCCAGTTGTACAGACGCTAGTTTGTTCTGCTCCATGATCGTCTCCACATTTTCCAGAATCTGGCGTTTCTGGGACAGCATCTGATGTGGACACTCTCTCTTGTTCTGGTCTACTGTGTGGCTCAGGACCTGGAAAGTGACGTCACTTATAAGAGTTTTGAAGATTATGGTAAAAGTAAAGTATACCCCCCCCCCCCCAAACTCACGCCGCGCCTCTACATATAACGACAATCACAGAAAGTTTCCTATTCCCGAGATACATGTCTGCTTCCCACTAGATGTTGCTAGTGACCGCAGTGGCTACTGTCTGTTGTACGCCAGTATAATGATATAGACAAGTAAACATCCGCAGAGACGTGGCTCAAGGTACGCCTAATGATTCTTTTCCCTCCCTCGCCAGTATCAAACCTCACCGCTGTCAACACTGACCCTGTGGACAAGGTCAAGGACAAACATAGCGTGGAAGATGACGTCAGGTTACGAGGTTCCTTTTCTTGGCTTCTCAATCTTACACAAACCTGGGATGGAAATAGAGGGTGGTGGAAGGGGGGGGGGTGCTCTGGTGGGGGAAAGATTTTGCTGCTCTTTCTGGAAAAGACAATGTTTCCTGGCAAATATTAATTACTCCTCAGTAATAGGGAACAATTCTATGAGGCAGCTAGACAAGCCAGTGGGAACAATACTATGAGACAGCTAGACAAGCCAGTGGGAACAATACTATGAGACAGCTAGACAAGCCAGTAGGAACAATACTATGAGACAGCTAGACAAGCCAGTAGGAACAATACTATGAGACAGCTAGACAAGCCAGTAGGAACAATTCTATGAGACAGCTACGGCTGCAGGGCACAACAACAACGACAATAACGACAACAACAAGAATAGCAACAACAACAACAACAACAACAACAACAACAACACTACCACCACTACCACCACCACCAACAACAACAATGACAACAACAACAACAACAATAGAGATTCTCACCTGTAGCTGGCTCTTCCACTTGCTCTCAAAACTCTCTCGCAGAGACTCGACGGTCGCGGTGACGTTTTGTAGAAGGTTCTCTTTTTGCTGCACACACTGTCTCTTGCCTTCTTCCGCCGTGGTTGTCACGTGCTCCAGAATGGTTTCCCTCTGAGATCGCAGTCGCTGGAGGTAATCGTTCTTGTTCTCCTCCACAATGCTGCTAAGGATCTGCAGTGTGACGTCACTCTTACGGGAGACGAACGTGGGTAGGCTTTTTTGCCAGTTGACACCCTCCCAGGACGTCAGGCTAATTACGTCACACCGGAATGTGCCTATGGTATCGTCAGTCGCCACGGGCCACGTGATCCGCAGAAAGCTGTTTACAGTGAGGGTCTTGTTGGCCACAGCGAGCACACCCTTACGTTTTGGCCGTACTTCCGTGTCGTCATCGCGGATCTCTGCAAAACTGTTCCACCCAGCATGGTCTTTTTTCAGCACTCTTATCATTACAACCTCAGAATTATCTGGCTGGGGGAAGTTGTCGAGACATTCTAGGGAAACATTTCTTGTTTTCCCTACTTCCACTTGGTCTGTTGTTACATTGAGTACCAGTGCCTGGGAAGACAGCAGCACCGCTGCTGCCAAAAGCACATAACTAGACATCATGTTGAGGGCCATTGTCAGGACACAGCGTGGTATTTGGGTGCCAAAGATCTCCGCGCGACTTTTCCTAGAAGTCTGCAGGGCATATTGAGAGAAAAAAAGAACACTCAGCTCTGGATAATTTTTTTGGGAATGTATATTTTAAAAAAATAATTCTAAGGATGTCATAACTAGCCAATATTTTTTTGGTCAACACTATAGTCGGCGCCAGCTACAACTGTCCGGACGGGAGGGGGGGGGGTGAAAGGGGGGCGTTGTCGTCTGCGCACATTTTAGTCCACAAAGTGCTGAAAAACAGTGGTACTCATTTCCCTTTTTCTGTGGATTCTAAGAATCACCAACAAAGCTACACCTGCTCTTTTACAGGGAATCCACCCATGATCCACAAGCCGCTTATTGCAGGAACGTCCAGAACTTTGGACGGTTCAAAGGGTGACTCACACTGGGAAAAGACGTTGGAAATTAACAAAAAAACTTCGGCCTGTCCACTCTGGCCGATATGGGTGCCTTGTGAGAGAGATATTGATTACATTCTATTATTGTTCAAACCAAAATATTCACTGGCATAAGCTCATCGCTACTGAATATGAGTAGGTTACACTGTGTGTAGAATTGCATATTCTCAACGGCATCAAATATTTTATTTTATGCTTTGTTTTGTTTTTTGGTAGATCTAAATGTTTTACGGCGCTCGCAAGTGCATAAGGTCATATGAGCGCGTGGGACACATTAAACATTTTCAGTTGGTAGGAAATTTTGAATTTTGCCCGGGTGGCGGTCGAAGCCTACTCTTATCGATTTTGGACCACCAAGAGATCTTTAACGTACGCAACTTGCACCCTGGACCTCTCGAGATTTTTCACTCTTATCCGAGAAGGCCAGGTGTTAGATCTTACCTACCATTAGATCATGGGTGTGGCTGAAAGACAGCAGTAAGAAGGAACCAAGGAGCAACAGTAGTCGAAAGGCTGCAGAAAGAGGAGCCCAGAGGAGGGGCAAAGGAGGTGAGGGGGTGGGGGGGGCAGAAAGTGGAGACGAAAGCAGAAGACAGAACATTGTCTGACAGCAGAAAAGGAGGTGAAATGAGAAACTTTTAGAGAAGAAAATTTTCCGTCGCTTTTTGGATTCGAACCCGGAACCCATTGAATAAGAGGTGAACGGCTTAACCTCTCGACCACCACATCCCCCTAAATTAAGTTCGGAATGGCAGCTTTAAACTAACTATAAAGTAAGAGCAGAACTTTTTACCAATTTCACTTGTCATTGATCAGGAGATCGTGATTATGCACGGGCTAAAGTTTTACCTCTAAAAAGTGTCATTGGGGAGCTGTGACGTAGGCCACATAGTGTGCAAAATGTGTTGCGTGTGAGAAGTGGGAACTGCTGTGAACACTTCCATTAACATTTTCCGCGCGACGGAGAGTTGTAGCATTATATAGATATCTATTTACGGAGCAAAGTTTTTGAGTCTAGCCTCGATTGTTGTGAAAAAAGATATGATTAAGTTGAGACAAATTGATACAATTTGCTGTGCAAAGTGTGGATGGCAATGATTCTCCAGTTTAAGAGAAGTTTGAGGATAGGTTGTGCCACGAATGTTTAGGGCACTGTAAGTGAGGGTAAAAGGTCCAGATTGTATTACTGAAATTTGCGAAGATTTTTTTTTTTGTACCAAAAGTGAAACAGTGATCTACAAAAAAATGAGAAACTTCATCTCTTCAGATATATTTTCATACGTCATACGTCTACCAATAGTCCTGCCAACACATACCATAGAAAATGGTGTCATTTCTGCAAGTAATTTTGTTGTTGATGATAATAACAACAACTATAATAACAACAACAATGACGATGACAACAACAACAACAAAAACGACGACAACAACAACAACAACAACAATGACAACAACAACGACAACACCACCACCACCAACAACAACAACAATGACGACGACAACAACACCACCACCACCACCACCACCACCACCACCAACAACAACAACAACAACAACAACAACAACAACAACAACAACAACAACAACAACAACGAGAACAACCCCACCACCAACAACAACAACAACGATGACAACAATAACAACAAGCACAAAAAGGTGACCCTGTTGCTAGTCGATGATAATCGTCGCTAAGTCACTCACCCTGCTGTAGCCTCTCACAAGTCCGGTAGTTTGGTGAAAGGCACAAAGTCCCTCCCTGATCTACTTCTCACAGATCCGCTAGTTTGGTGAAAGCTCACGCGCAAAGTCACAGCTCACCAAGACGTTGCGGTGCTAGACACAGGCACGCTGGCTTTTATGAAGGAGGAGCGGGGAGCAAAAACAAAACTTAATTGAAAAAATAAAGCTCTGAAAAGAGATGAAGCTGCACTTTCCACTGAGCTCCGTGTTAATGTTGTTATAGCCTACGTAAACACTTTTCCATAATAATGGAGAGAAATAGGATGTTTGTGCCAGAGACAGAGATGGGGAATCTTGCCCCCTGGAGCGATGATAAGAAACTGGGTTCACGGACGGTCTTTTTAACGTGGAACTTTCCTCCAAAAGAAACGGGGTCTGTTTTCTGAAACATTATGAAATTTTAGCAGAATAAGCAAAAAGTCTAAACGTCTCCGGGTTCACCAGGGGAATTGAAAATTATTGTCAAGTAATCAGGAGTTTACATCAGTAAGGTCATGGCGAAAATCTGTTTCAAAATTAGATTACTTCATTTTGTTTTTGAATGACGTAGTTTTAGAACGCGCAGTGAAGTGAAATAACAAGATGTTTACTCGCAACTATCTGGTGACATGTGCACTTTGCCTATAATCAAGTTGTGAAACAGGTCAGTAGTAAACCCTCCTTCTCCTCTAACCCCCTTCCACCCCTCCCCCTTCCCTTCTTTCTCCTCATCCACCTCTTTCTGCTAGCTGCTAAACACGGCTAATTCCCGCTGACAATCCAGATTTGTTGGACCAGCCAGTAAAGTATGTTTGTATGGAAAACGTTTACGGTAGATCCAGGGAGGTTAAAGCAATTTGTTTTTATAAAGCTCCTTGGGTAGATCTTAAGGTCACCGTACTGTTTGTGTTTGGCGTACTGGTGGTTCTCTCTCTCTCTCTCTCTCTCTCTCTCTCTCTCTCTCTCTCTCTCTCTCTCTCTCTCTCTCTCTCTCTCTCTCTCTCTCTCTCTCTCTCTCAGCATGTACGTGTGTGTGTGTGTGTGTGGGGTGGGGGGGGGTGGTATGTGTGTGTGTTCTTGCTTGTGAACTACACCAATAGTGTAAATAATTTTTTGGGTTGAAGGAAAGTGCTCTACAACCCCGGCGATTATGTACACTTACGTTAGCATTTCCTTGATGCAATAACACACACACACACACACACACACACACACACACACACACACACACACACACACACACACACACACACACACACACACACACACACACACACAT